TAGGGAAAGGAAAAGCAAGCAAAATTTACAGTAGAACCAAGATTTCCAAATATAGGGGATTGATGACAGGCACTTACATAACCATTTAAGAGGGCTGTGCAAAATGGCACTGTTCCATTTCGACTTGAGTTTCAAGGGAACAATGTTTCATTTCGATTTGAAAACGCTGTTCCATTTCGCTTCGTCAAAACAGTGTCACTGTTTTGACCATTCGCTAAAATGGGGAAACTCAAAACAACCTCTGAGTTCCCGGCTGAGCCACATGGGGCTGTGGAGCCGCTGGGAGCGCAGCCCTAGTTCTCCCCCGTCTCCCACCACCTGGCTGCTTTGAAACATTTCAACTAGCCTCGTTTTGGTTCGAGGCTGTTTCAAAGCCCCTTGTTTCAATTTGATTTAGCTGTTTCGAGCTCAAAATGAGTAAAAAAAATAGGGCTGAAGGGAAACAGCCAGCCAAATTTTACACAGCCCTACCATTTAAGGTGCCTCAAGGCTAAATTCGAGTGTCCAAATATGACCACGTTGCAGAGAACCTATTCCTACTAATTCCATCAGGAGTGAAACATTTAGACTTGGATCAAAAGCTGAATGATGCACAGGTGTTGATGGTCTGAACCCACATCCATATTCATACCCCTGAATATATTTGCAAGTTTATCCCATACCCGATACATCTCCACCATAGAATTAGTAGCTCTGTTAAAATAATCCATCGATCTGATCAACAGGAGGGGCTGGCCAGGGTTACTAAGGAGGATGGCTGTCTCAATGTAGGAGGCTTCAGGAGGGAACACCTAACATTTCCACCGTCTCACCCACAGCTTCCAGATCTTAGGCCCCCTCTACATGTTACAGGTATCATGCTATTAACTGGTTAACTGCACAATTACCTTGAGACCAGCATGTGCTAAATAGCTATCACATAAGAAACAGCTCCAACCAGCTACAAAGTTAGACCTTGAAAACTTGTGCTAACTTTATAGCTGGTTGCTATCGAGCTTTAGTTTGCACACATAGCAGGGTCTCCCCTGCATCTGGAAGCCCATCGGCTGGCAGGCTTTCCAGACACATAGGTGCAACCCCTGAGCTCCAGTGGCTGCCATGGTCTGCAGGGCTCAAGGGTGGGCGAAACCCCGGACCCACGTGAGGCTCTTGGTCCTGGTTGCACCTCACCTGCAGCCGGGAATAAGAGTCCCGTGCCTGTTGGGGCTCTGGTTCCCGCTGAGCCTCGTGCAGCTGGACCCAGACTCCCGTACCTCAAAGGGGGCTCCCAGCTGTGGGTGCCTGCTTCTTGCAGATGCAAGGGGAGCTCCCCCTACACCGGCCATAAGATGCAACTGGTCCTGCCATGCACACGTGGCACGGTAGGGTGCATGATGGTGCAAATCACGCATTAGACCCAGGCCTGCCTTTACCTGCATGTGTAGAGGGGGCCTCGCAGGATCTTTAAGCGAGCAGAGCGCAAGTCCATCACTCCATTACCTTGCCACTTTCCAGGTGTTCAACCGATTTAATGAGGGGTCTGGAGTAATGCCGTTTCTGAGGGAACCTATTCATTCTCATATTATTATTATTATTGTGTTAGGGCCCCTTAAGCGTAAAGTAAGTGCAGTAATCTTTTCTGACTACACTGTTTCAAGGGAATTTACTCGGGCTGAACCTCCTGAAGGCAGATGCGATTGGCGGGGATAAACAGGAAACTGAATCACGGTTACAATGTCTATTGGGTGCTTTCGTTTTTAAGTCTGAGAGAAGCTGAAAAGCTTGCAATGCCAACCTGAATGTGTGACACCCCGCCTCCCCCTGCCTTCAGGCAGAGAAGTGATAGATTATTTTGGTCCCAAATTGTCTGGGATAAGAATACCACAGTCAAAAACCACATTTTGATGGCAAAAGATGCCGTGTTCGGAAGACAGAGGGCAGGAGACGGCTTTAGGAATCTGATAATGGCACGCTTAGACAATTAAAGCATGTGACCGTGTTCTGTTAATTTAATTTTTTTTTTAAAAAAGGAGTGTGGATCAAGCTCATTCCTTCAATGTGAGGTCCACTAGAGCAAGTTAAAAAGGATTAATCACCAAAAACTGCTTCTTACCTTCCGAGACGTATGTAACAACACACAGCCAGCATTTTCATTTTCAGCTGGAAGAGAATTTAAAGGGAAAAGATGTTACAGCTGTGGGTATCTGAAAGGCAACAGGCATCACATGCTACTACTTAAATGTGAGACAGAAGCTTATCATCTTAATGGCAATGTAATAAGCTTTTACCAACAATGACTTGCTTGCGTACAAGCAATGCAAATCTTTTTTTGTATTGCATTGCAAGGACACACAATGAAGCAAGTCAGCAAGATGTGTCAAGGTCTTATGAAAGCCTGATGCTGTCCATTAGCAACGACACTTCCGCTCCCCCAACCCAGTAAGTAGCACCAAACTAAATCCTGTGAACTTATTTTTTTTCCATTTTACTGACAATGTTTCTGGGGATCAATGCAAGCACCCCCCCCCCGCCTCCAAGCAGCCACCCACCTAATCTCCATCCTGTTTTTTGGATCCACTTGCCAAAAAATAAATAAATAAATAAATAAATAAATAAAATAAAAAAAATAAAATCAGCATCAACGCTCCCCCTTGGCAGTGAGCACACTGAAACAAGACCGAGTGGCATGATGATTTGATGACAAAAATGGTAAGCAATTTGTGCCACCTGCTATCAACTTATAATGGCCCGATTTGTCACATTATCTAGACAACATTAAGCACTGCAAAATAAGCGGGGGTTTTTTGACTGAGATTTTTTTAGGCATACTGTTATACCAAAAACGAAAGGGCATTGAAAAAAAAAAAAAAAAACAATTGTGTGTGTTCACCTTGTAAATACATTCTTTGTTTCCCCATCCCAAACCAGCAATTAAATAGGCACGACTACAGGAAAGCGATCAGGTTACCAAGAAGTAAACAGAAAGTTCCTGCCCACGTTCTTGAATCGGCAGAAGCAAATAAATGCAACAAACTTATGTGATGACCCAAGGAACACCTCTTGAAGCCTCCCTCTCTCATAAGGTTCAGATTGTATTTGGAAGAGGTTGCTGATCGCTAACATACTAGGTAATGCGTGTAACCGCTTGTGGACACTAAGTGAAGACGGTACATTAGGTCTAAATTATATTCTAGAAGTACGGATCTCTCTCCGATGGACTGCACTCTTTGCTGTACTGAAAACGATAGAGCGTGTGCGCACACCCCGGATTATAAACCAACCTTACATACAAGATGAACCCACATTTTCAGGTTTAGTTTTGGGAAAGGAGTTATTTGCCCAAATAAGTTGATAACCACAGAAAGTTTTGGGACCCTACTGCCCTTGCAGAAACGCCATGGGAAAATCTAAGGCAAGAATCCATGCTAAAAGAAAAAACAAAACAAAACAAAACACTAGAATAAAATCCGCACAGACAAAACACTTTAACTTGGCACTTATTATAATATTTTTGTGCATGCAAGTCATTATAAAAGGTAGAGGCGCACCAATAAAGATTTTTTTGGCTGATATGGATCGTCATTTATTAACCAGCCATATTGGCCAACACTATCCAATAGTCTATATGCAGCCTAGCAGCTTGGCGAGCCGCATCCAGTCGGTAAGTCTAGGGTGGGGAAGCGGTAGGGGGCGGGGCGCAGATCAAGGCCCCGCAATGAGGGAGGGAGTGGGGCTACGGCAGGAGCTGCCCAGCCAGGGCATGGTGTGGCATGGAGCCATGGGTGGCTTCTCTGGGGGGCAAGGAGGGGTAGCACCCCACTGCTGCATGTTCCCCACATCTTTGTAGGTAGGGGAAAGGTGGGCTGCCCACTGCAGGCTCAGGGCCAGGGGCTGTGTTGGCCTCTTCCCAGCAGGGGGGGGCTGGGCCAAAGCTGTGCTCAGGGTGGGCAGATGCAGGGCAGGCGGCAGTGGCACTGAGACAGGTGGCTATGGGGTGGGGCTACACTAAATTTTGGGGTGGCTGAAGCCCACACCATAGCTATCCCTTCCAGTGCCGCCGCCGCTGCCCATCCTGCCCCAAGTGCAACCCTCCGCTCCACCAGAAAAAGATGCCAGCACAGCCCCTGGCCCCTTGCCCATCCTCGCCCTGCACACAAATTGGTGGGGCATATGCCTCCCCGGGGGTGCATGTAGCCACAGGGAGCTGCCCCCCTCCCCAGCCCCTGCACCCCCTGGATGAGTCGCCCACAGCTCCACCCTGGCCCACCCCAGCTGGGCAGCTCCTGCCCCCTGCTCCTACTCCAGCCCCACTCCCTCACCATGGGGACCTTGATCCCCCCCCACCACTTACCAGCCAGATACTGCTCTGGAAGCTGCCGGGCTGCATTCCTGGCCACATGCGTGCTGCGGCTGTGCACGTGTACACAGCATTTATGGGCGACATTAAACTGGCTACACCGGGCAAAAAAGCCGATTGCCAATAATGTCAATTTTCCGTTTATTGGTGCTGATCCAATATGGAGTGATATACTGGTGAACCTCTACTATAAGGTCACCTTGTGCAAGTCACGCACAATTTCTAGGGTACATTTGGAGAGCAGTAAAGCCTGGTTGAATTGTAAGTAGGAACATACAGCAATTATTTTTAGTGCACAAGGCACACACTGAAAGCCACTATTCTGCGATTCTGCCAAATCCAATGGAAATAAGGAACAGCTTTTTGTTAAGCAGCAGACACACATATACACAAAGACTTCATAGATGCAAAGATGTGGGTGGGTCCAAACACATATCTTACAATTATGGCTATTAGAAGTTAGCAATCCCCAATCTGTTCTCCCCCACCCCCAGCATTTTTAATGCATTTTTAAAAAGAAGGGAAGTAATGTATGCACAAAATACTTGATCCAGTCCCCGTCCCACCCCCCCACCCATTCTAAAAATATCATCCATGTTATGCACAGGCACAAGCTACATCGTTGGCCCACCTCCTCCAGCACTGTAGAGCTCGTTTAGCTCAATTAGCTTCCAAAAAAGTGAGCTCACCACAGAGAGGCTATCCCTTCCAGGCAGAGGCACATAAATTGCCTGCGCTCAAATCAGTTCATCTTGAGCTGGCCTGACAAGCGAGATTGGCCACGAGGAATATCTACCTGGAACTGCACACATTGCTATAAGGAATGAGCAGAGGCATGGCTGGTAAACTTTGCAGCTTTGCAGTGAGGATCATATCCCAACAGCCCCTGTCTCTATGGGCTTTAACACCAGGGGGTTAAATTCAGCAGCTGCCAGGTGCAAGGGCCCTCTTGCAGCCCCTGCCCCAGTCCAGGCACCACTGCTCACCCCACGGGTGCTCATTGCCACCATCTGGCAACAGGAATCACTGAATTCAGCAGCAAATGCAGCAGCTGCAGGAGGGATGCATGTTAACCCCATGACTGCCAAGTGTGCTGAAACCTCTGCCCAAACAGCAACATCTCCACGTGGGGTGAAGGTGTAGCAGATGAGGGGATTGAGGCCAACAGGATGCAACTCAGCTCGTGTCCCCACTCCCCAGGGCCAAAGCTTTGAACCAGCCATGACCCCCATACCTTCCCCAGGTGCCACCAGTTCCTATCCCTAGAGGCCAGGGCTAACCATGGATTCGTCCGCACAGTAGTGCAGCACCTGCTTGGAGTCTATGCTGGCACCCCTCATACATCAGCTCCCAGAGCTCATGTGCTGGTCACCCACTGCCCCTAGTCATGCTACTGGCCACGGGTGGCTTTGCACTTGGCTACCTGTGTTCGCTCAAGCTTTAGCATCTACCCCTTCTAAGCCAGCCCGCTTGCAAGCAACACCTGGCTTGAGAAGTGTTTGGGGTTGTGGATCTGAGCTAGAGAGAAACACTCGAGTTGCAACTGCGATTCACTCAGCAGAAAGGACTCAGCCCCACATCCTCAGCCTTTAGCCATTTTAGATATGGCTGGATAACAGGTTTTAGGTATGGCTGGATAGAGCAGCTTAGATGGCAGGTCCGGTAGCCATTTCCCCTGTTAAAACGTAATAACTGGTAGATTAAAAAGTATTACAGCTTATGAAAGTCTCCCTGTGTAATTTTCCACCGATTACTATTATAACACTATATTTTCCTGGAGTGTGCGATTTACAAGTCATCTTTTGAAAATGGTACTTTGCATTAAAAAAAATTAGGCCTCTAGCTAAACGAGAAATGCTGAGCATTTTTCCTCCACTGTTCCAGCCAGTGCTTCCCCAATGCTTTTCATTTACAATAGCCTCAGATTTAGCTTAATTACACAGGGAGACATGTGCTTGAAAGGCTCGGGAGCAATAAGTGTACAGAGGAAGGCAAGAAAGCTGAAAAGCATGCAATAGGTGGCTCCAGAAAAGGAAACCCCTGAGGAATTAAGTATGCCTACAAATAAAAGAAAAATATATCTGTGGGTGTGCGACGGTCTGAAATCTGTCCACAGCTCCATCCTTAAGGATGCGTGTGAAGTCAGTGTTAAGTCAAAACTATACTTCGTTCTATGGTGCACCTCTCCACGCATCCCTGTCTCAGCCATATCCCAGCTCCACTGCTGCCAGCAATTTTCTTAGGTGATCATCTTAAGTAAACTCTCATGCTTCTCCAACGTGAACAAAAAAGTCATCTCAGATTACATCTTCTGGAGCAGGGCCATTGAAATAAAATAAAAACAAAAGAAGAACTTCTCAAAATATTTTCAGCAACATGGCAAAGCGTTATAAGTCCCGGAGCCTCATTCATCTCAGCATCTGAGAGCATGCCGCCTGGATCCTTTCCAAGGGAAGGAAGCCTAGCATGGACGCTTTCCTTCTTGGCGACACCATCCCAGGTCTGCTCCACCACCCTGAAGATCACTTGAAAGTCTTGGGTCTGTCACTGTCTGGCCATAGCCAACATGGTGAAGGACATACATTGGAGAAGATCTTATGGGCTTTTGCTTTCCTTCTTTGGCTTGGCTTAACGGCTGTTGGTGTGCCGATACCTTTATTGATCTGCCACCACAAGAAAACCTAGATAGACTGAGCGGACAGAGAACTAGAACTAGGCTGGACACAACCAACATGAACCTGGTTTGATGGGCTGTCAGCAACACTCCAAAAATAAAATTTCACACCAAAGAAGGGGGAAGGAT